ACTGGGATCATTTCCATATGAATTTCGAAGTCATGGAAGGAACAGTGTCGATCAATTTAAAACTTCACCAGTCCATTCATTAGCTTGATTTAGGAAAAACAAACAAATTGTAAAGAAAGCTTCAAGGAGTGAGAGAAAAAGAGAGATCAATTCAATGCATACGGATGTGAAAAGAAGATTTTTGGAACCGAGTATCTGCTATAGCCCTCAAAGAATCATATTCCTCCTTGACTCAATTGGCTGAGTAATTAAAATTGAAGTCCTGCACACAGCCTACCAAATAAATATTCAACATCTGTTTACTCAGTCTAAATTTCCAAACCGACAAAAAGAAATCTACATTAGAACCAAATAAGGCAAAACCATAAGAGTCGGCCACGCAATTGGCACAACATAAGCCTCCACAATCAGAGAGATTGTTGGCCAGAAAAACTAAACTCAATTTTTCATCAGTTGATCACCTCCTATTTAGATGTATTTAATATGGAATAGTAGGTGATCAACCCCAACTATACCTTATAAAAAGTTTGAGGAATTAGGACAGTTGCGAAAGTATTGGAGTCGGGTTTCTATTGGCCGACTCTATTCAAGGATGCCCATGCCTGAGTGAAAAGTTGTGATGAGTTCCAAAGAACCGGTATCTCTCCGTCATGAGATGCCGATGACTACAATTCAGGATGTGGAAGTGTTTGGCGTATGGGGGATTGATTTTATGCGACCATTTGTTAGCTCGTATAATAACAATTACATATTTCTATTTGTTCTTCGCCGCTTTGGGTTGTGGGGCTTACTTCCTAGCCCCAGTTGGAGTAGTGACTGGCGTTATAGGTCATTGGGCGGCCGGAAGGTTGCCACGAGTAAGTAAGTTTGGAGGACCGAAGGCAGTTCTCCGTGCACCGGACACGTAGCTTACCGAATCAGTTGCGACACGTATGAGAATGCATTACATATCGGTAACAGTTGACTATGTCTCTAAATGGGTTGAACTGTGGCTCTTCTAACAAATGATGCAAAAGGAGTAATAGGATTTTTAAGGAAAAATATTTTCATACGATTTGGCACTCCGAAAGCAATAATCAGTGAGGGTAGAACTCATTTCTGTAACAAAACATTTGCAAGGCTACTAGAAAAGTATGGAGTTCGCCATAAGGTTGCCACACCTTACCACCCGCAAACGAGCAGGCAAGTGAAAGTGTCCAACAGGGAAATCAAAAGTGCATGACCAAGACAATGAATGCGACTCGGACAAATTGGGCAAGGAAGTTGGATGATGCATTATGGGCCTACCGCTCAGCATTTAAAACTCCAATCGGTATATCTCCGTACGAGTTGGTGTTCGGGAAAGCCTATCATCTTCTAGTAGAGCTTGAGTATAAAGCCTTATGGGCATTGCGGCAGTTGATTTTGGATATGGAAACCGCGGGCACATGTAGCGTTACAGAGTTGCATGAACTCGAGGAGTTTCAGTTCCAGGCATTCGAAGTACAAGATTGTATAAGGAAAGGATGAAGACGATGCACGATAATCATATTCTAGATAGGAACTTCAAACCCATAAATCTAGTGTTGTTATACAACTCGAGATTGAGATTTTTTTTGGGTAAGCTAAAATCTAGATGGTCGGGACCATTTAAAGTTGTGCAAGTGTTCCCAAGTGGAGCTGTAGAAATTGAGTCCGAAGGTGGAACTAACAGGTTTAAAGTGAATGGGAAAAGGTTGAAATACTACCTTGGAATGATTGAAGAAAAATGAGAGAAAGATGTGATGTACTTGAAAGAGCCCCAATATATGAGCGAAACATAATCTTAAAAGCCTGCGTCGTGCCACGACGTTAAATAAGGCGCTACGTGGAAGGCAACCCACGACTTTAAGTCATTATTAGTGTTTTATTTCTTTTTTTTTTGTTAGGGTTAATTACTTTTAGTTAGTTAGTTTTGTTTGTTTTGCAGGATTAATACGTAGCTGCGAAGTTCGTGGAGCAAATAAGGTCTCTCCAGAAGGGATTAACTTGAAAGTTTCACGAATTTTTGTACTGTCAAAAAAATGCGTCACAGTATGCTAAGAGAATATAGCACATGGATAGCACAACAAGGTGGAATTTTTCTTCCCTTAATAGTGTGCTAAGAGAATATAGCACCGGGATAGCACAACAAGGTGAAATTTTTCTTCCCTTAACAGTGTGTTAAGAGAGTATATCACAGGGATATCACAGTAAGGCAAATTTGGTTTTTTCCTTAATAGTGTGCTAACGGATTATAGCACAGGTATAGCACAGCAGCCTAGACCCTGTTGTTGGACCTTCTCAGAGTAGTCCAACCACTGTTGTTGATGATACTGCAGGTGATGCAAATGTGGATGACGTCGGTGACTCTAATGCTGGCGACTCCAACTACGATACTTAGAGGGAGTATTTCTTCACCCATGTTCTTTATTTTGCTGCATTGGGGACATTGTAGATTTTTAAGTGTGGTGTGGTGGAATATCTTATCTGTATTGTAGTTTAATTTAATTTTTTTAGCATAATAATCTTATTGGGTTTTCTTGGACTTGGTTCTTTTCTAGTGAGTTTTTCTTTTGAACCAAGCATTTTCTTTCCTTCCTTCTGTTTGTAAAGAGAATTCACTCCTTGAAAAGCTGTATTTTATGAGAGTCGCTTAAGATTTTCTTGAACCTCCTTTCTGAGCTCATGTTTGTACAATGACGGTGAAACAGAGTGACTTGTAAATCCCATGTATATTGTGTGAGGAGTTTTTGTTTGTGCATTTCAATGTATGCATGTTAGTCTAGAACTTGCCCTGCCTCTTGTTTGAGGCGGATCTTAGAAAGTTTTGATCTTTAGAGTGATAGTAGGCCTTCTTTGATATAAACCACTTGTGCCTAAATTATCTTACCAAATGAATGAATATCCCTAGCATCTCAATTTGCGCCTATTAACCTCTTTTTGGCAACCCATGTTACAAGCCATGCCCATTTTATATTAATCTCTCTTGTTAACCCATCTTCCCCTTAACTACTTTAGGCTGTGTGATTGGGCAGAAGTTGTGGTTATGAGAAAATATTATGTACTTGAAAACTCAAAGTTGCACCAAAGAATGGAAGTTAAGTCCCTTGATACTCCCTTTTTGAAGATCTATTATTCAAAAAGCAAATGTAGTTGGGAAAAGTAAGAGGGAGACAAAAGAAAATAATAAGTTGAGACTTTGGTGCTTGAGCTACGAAAAAAAGAAGAAGTGGAAAGTGTTTACATAGAAAGAGTGGGAAACATAGAAATTTGTGATGCTTAAAGTATTTAGGGGAAGATTTAGTCACTATATAATCAAAAGTGTCCATATCTTACTCCAAGCCAATATTACAAGCTTTGAAAGTCCTACTTGACTGTGGATTGAGACTCCTACAATAGTGGATAGTGACAGAATGGGCAAGTTTATGGTATTGTATGTGTTGCATTTGAAATTCTTTGATGAGTGAGAGTGTTAGTGCTTATGATTTGTTATTATAGATGTGTGTTTTAGGGGTATTTCTTTGTTTGTGAGGTACAATGGAATTTGCGAGGAACAAAGTTTTGAGTTTCAATAGATGAATCTGAGCAAAAGAAAGGTGTTCACTCTTGTGGTTGATATCTCTGAATAATTGCTTGACAGGGAGTTTGAATTTGCTTGACTGTTTCTTTGTGATTTGTCTATGATACCATGTGTTTGCTCGAGGACAAGCAAAAGTCTAAGTGTGGGGTGGTGATAATATGCTAGAATTACATGTAATTGGATATGTTTTACCCCTACTTTGGTGTGTTTTTAGGTGTTTTGAATGTTGAAGATGACCAATTGAGCTTAATTGTTGAAGTTTGTTATGTAGAAAACCAAGAGTGAAGAATAGAGGTAATTTGAGCAATAATGAATCTAAAAGACAATTTTCGAAGAAAAGAAAAATCGGACCAGGCAGTGAAGTAACTCGAAAAGCACAAGAAAAGCATAAAAAAAAATCTGGAAAACACAACCATGCCCTGTGCGAAGCACAACTATAGCACAAGGGCAAATTTGCCTGCGTTTTATCTTGAGGGGCAACCTAGTCAATTGACTTAGGGACGTGATATAAAAGCTTTCAATCCTTATTTCAGCCACAGACTTGGCATGAGAAGGCAAGAAACACCATTGTTGAAGCAAAGTTGAGCCCAAAAAATCCTCAAATTCATTCAAGAAGACGAATCAAAGAGTTTCTCTCTACTTTACTATCTTGATTTCTATGAATATTAGTTTGACAATGGTTTATGTACTTTTGAGTAATGTTATGAGTAGCTAAACCTGTCATTTAGGGTTGATGAAACTAATTGTTGGATGAAGTCTTGATTGTGTTTTGATATTATTGAGCCGTTATTACTCTTTAATTGTTCAACTATATGTTTCTTGTGATTAATTGAAGGGCTCTTGATTAATCATGTCTATTTATCTTGTGTTGCTTGAGAAATAACACTTGTTTAGATTGTTGTTGAACAACGCCACTTTCGAGTAAGTTAAGAGATTAATTACTTGAATTTAGAAGCGGTATTAGAGATAACGAAGCTTTGGGCAATATTTATGAGCTGTACGAATTGTCAACTAGAGTAGTTCAAGAGAATACTTCTAGTAAATTATTGTAATTGATCGAGAGATAATTACGGTAAACAAGAATTCATCATCTTTAGAGAGTGTTATGGTGATATTATAGCTAGTGTATCAGGAATTAATCCGACAACTGGTAAATCGTAAACCCTAGATCCTTTTATCCATGAATTCAACTTCATTCTTGCTCGTTGATAGTTTTTATTGTCATTTTTCCTTAGTTAAATAATTTCTGTTAATTCTCAAATCAAATCTTGAAATCTGAAAGTTGTCGGAACTTATCATTAGCGATACTAAAAGTTGTAGCAAATAGGTTAGTTCCCTGTGATATTTGACTCCGAACTCTTGAACTATATTATTTTTGCAGCAACCGCTTAGTCCTTTTGGGCGTGATCACATACAAACATATGAACTCCCATTTCTAATATATAGTAATAACTTAATTTATGTATACATCATCTAATCTAGTCACACTCATTTGTATGCCCACTTCTAGCGACAACAATAAGAATTAGTGCAGCATTTATATGCAGTCTATGCTGGCCAAGCTTCATTAATTTTCATTTCTACGACATTTTCTTTACACGCACATTACATGTTTGAAGTGGGATAATATAATCCGCGTTTGTGTTTACATAATAGAACAGCCAGGTTGATGATCATATGAATCTCTAACTTGATAAACTGGGTACTGAGGATAGGTGTAGTAATAGGGAGTTTGCCACTGTGACATGGCCGCAGCAGAAGCTTGAGGCTTCGTATCAGAACCAGCTTTGTCCTTATTGCCGCCACCAGCAGCAGAAGCAGGGCCTACGCTGACCAGTTCCGCCTGCCTCAAATTCTTTCTGAGCAAATTTGTCAGTGTCACAGCGTCAATATCATCTCCCACCACTTCTAACTGATTTTTCCCATCCCCTCTCATAGCTGCTGATTCCACACTAAGTAAAAGAAGAGCAATATTAATTAATCCTGATGACTTCCACAATATTTTGATTGAAACCATTAAAATAAAGAACTGAAGGGAAACAAATAATCAATATATACCTGGCTGAGAAACAGCAATCTTGAAGGCCTTGGACCGATATTTCTGATCATTCCCATTGAAGGATAATTTGATAACCACTTTTTGCTACCCAATTTAAAGCACATGTTAGCAAACAAAACCGAACTATAGTACAACAAAGATAAGAATCGCTGCTTAGGTATTAAAATGAAAACAAATANGGGGGATTTTCGAAGTGCTTTGAAGTAATTGCAGTGAAGAACATGTACATTTTGAGAGTATTTATAGATGGAATTTCGCCTAAGCCCCAAGTACGTATGATCCACATAAGCATATTTTTGGGTCATAGAGAAGTCAACAAGTCAGGCTTAGTCTTCTTTTTCTTTCATTTAATAAGCCACGTTACATGCTATCCTCAGGAATTGAAATTTGAATGCGTCGTTGCAAGTACATGTGGGAACAGATCCCTTACCAACCAGAGAACTTATCCTAGATGCATGCCAAACTGACACTCGAAGCAGTTAGCTATATTTATACCGCAATTATGATATAAATTAACCCCAAAATTGTTAATTCCGGATTCGAAAATTGAACCAAATAAGGGATAAAATAATCCATATTATCCTTTATTCTCTTATCCCCCAAACCAAATGTCCCCGTAGTGATCCAATTTTACGAAGGATAGCGGTAAAATTGCTTAAACCGAAATTGTTAGTTTTTTTTTTTAATAAAATCGTAGGTATATAACCGTATCGATAATTAGGTTAGATTTTTTTATTTTATGAAAATAAACCGAAAAATACTAAATCGTACCAAGTAAATATACATGTGAAAAATATATTTATATATTAAGTTTAAAAATAATTAAGCATTAAATTTTTCCTTGTACCTTGGAATTATGAAAATCCTAATTCTCAAACCTATTATGCTACTCCTACTGAAACTAAATTATTTTTAGCATATTCACTAGCAAGACACAAAGCATGTTAGCGATTATGAGTAGCAAATTACAATGTACCGAATATATTTCCTTTCGTATGATTTAGATTATTCTTTTTGAATATTTAATCTTCTACATACTTTATTCTTGAGTCCGAGTCTGGTTAACATCTTTCTATTCGTGTGATTTATATTTTCTTTGTCTTTGCTTAGTTTTTTTTTATGTTGCTGTAGAATAGTTGATGGATCTATACTTTGGCCATCTTTTATATTTTCTTAATTTATCACCCTTTAAACAATAAAAATGTCTAGAAAATTTTGTAAAGTCCTATAAAAGTATGTATGCTATTGCATTTTACTTTGCTAGTGACTATTACACGACAATAAACAAAATTAAAAATTAACCGAACCGTCCTGATACCAAAGAGAAATCAACATGATTAGGACGGTTTTAAAAAATTGATATAGTACAAATTTTATAAAATAACCGATCGAACCGGACCATATATACACCCCTGTTGAAGAATATCACTTGTCCATTTTTTTTCCCTTTAGACAGCGCTTAAACTTATTCTATTCACCTTCTATCGTAACTTTCTGAAAGTATTCACAATATATTACTTCCGTCATCAAGCTCTAATATTGCAATTTGTTTATCTTAAAATTCGAGTAACAATTAAATTTATATTGTGGTTTTAAGGATATGTGATTCAATCTAATGCCAATTGATAAACAAGGAATTAAATAGATAAATTAGAGAATAAAATAAATCAAACCAATATGCAAGCCAAATTTCGACCTCGACGTGTGGTAGTCTCGAGGTGTGACAATAAGAATAGCACGAGATAAAGCAACTTTGATGAACAATAAAGCGAAATAACAAGAAAGTAATGAGTATATACATTCTTCTCAGTGAATAATCATGCTTACAAATGAATGAGATCCCTCTTTATATGATAGAGGAGTCCTAAATAAGGTACACTTCTAATTATAGTAGGAAATCATATTTGACAACTAATTAACCACCGAAGACCAATCCGTTCCGAGATTCTCTCCACGATTCTCGATCAACTACGAATATCTCGCCTTTTCCGTTATCGAGCTACTCCAATGTCACTCGAAGTCTGCCTTTCTCCGGTCCGCAATCGAGGTTGACATCGGCATCGTAGCTCTTTAACGTGACCTTCCTATCCTAACCAAAGGATGAAATCGGGTAGTCCCGATTTCCACCATGTATAGATAGTCCCCTTATTTCTTAGAGTAAAACGTAAGAAACGACTTGAGCTTCGATTTTCCTGAGACTCTAATAATAATATCATCCTTGTGACATAACTGATCGAAGTGACTGAAACGTCCCGTTGGTATAGTTTCCCAAACCGTTAATGCTTGCCAGTGACGGTCGGCTACTAGCACCACCGAACCGTCGTCGTGAGCCTATAAATTCAGGCTCTTCGGTTGAAATCAAATTTTACTTTCACCTTCATCAAATTTTTTAAGTTTCTTACTCTCTCTCCATCTCTTCTTTTTCACCACCCATTAAATCAACTTATTTAGCACTAAAAATACCAATTTTCATCTCTTTCCGCTCCCTTTTACCTGGAAAAATGGCGAAAACTTTCAAGACCATCCCGCAAAAGGAAAATGCTTCTTCCTCTTCTTCTCCGCCGGCCGGTAACAAAACGATAGTGGAACCGCTCCCTCACGAGTACATTCCCGGCCCCTGTGTCTTACTTCAAAGTCAAGAACCCTCGGTCGGCCCATGGCTGATGTGAACATCTATCGAGATATATCTTCTCGATAATGGAAAAACATCTCGAGGCTGTAAAGAAAGACTGCAACTGGGGGGCCGAGGTCATGATACAAATTCCTGCTCCTGAAGAGAGTATCACCACTCACATGGAGGTGTTTCTAAGTGTCTACACTTACCCCTTCACATTGGGTCCTCTTGACCCAGTTATCATCGACTTTTGCAAGACGTATTAGGTTACCCTCGGCCTGGTTCATCCCTCGTTCTGGCGTATAGTGATCATGCTCCATTCTTCTCCAGTGAGGCCAAGGGGTTGGAATTAACTATCAGCCATCTCACACGTTTGTATTGACCTCAACTTTTTCGAGGATTAATCAAGCTCCAACGCCGATCAACGAAGTCCTTTTTTGCGACCATCGATGAGGATAAAGACCGGGGTTGGATGAGCCGGTTTGTGTGGGTAAGGACATGCAACCTCATTCCAGAGGAGAAGCAGTCATTCCCCGAGAAATGGAACCCCGATCATAAGTTATGAATTACCCATTAATCATAAGTAATTCTTTCATCTGTTATGTAGCAGTTGCCTGGATGCCTCACACGGTCCTCGACCTCGAAGAATGGGTTCGAAAGTTGGCCTCGAATTCCTCTCATATCGAGCGCTGCTGGCGTGACTTGGTGAGGGGCATATGGGAGGCTAAGAATCACGGTAAGCTTATCTTTTACGCTTTCGATGCCCCTTTCTGAAACATTTCTTTTTACTTACACTTGACTCGTTTTTATACAGGCCTGGGGGATATTGCTAAAATGAGGCCGGCCTCGCCTGGGGAAGAGGTGGCTCCCAAACCGGCTAAGGACAAGAAAAGGAGAAGAGCCTTGCCTTCTGATATCCCGAAGCCCAAGAAGAGTAAGGCTCGTAAGTCGAAGGATGACTTCGCCGCTCTATCTGCCAACGTAGCCCAAAAGCTACGAGATGAAGAAGAGGAGGGGGAAGATGCTAGTTGTGAGCTGGTGCCTCGAAAGAAGGGGAGCATCAAAGCTTTAAGGACAGCTGGGCCGGTGATGGTCGAGGAGACTCACCCTCAGACCGAGGAGATCTCGAAAGGTGCTCTGAGCAAAGTCCTCGAGCCATCAGGGACCGAAGATATTTCCTGCCGTGATGAGCAACTGGTGAGTGTTCCCAAGTGACTTGCTTGGGCCAATCACTATTGGTGATTCGCCGCCCGACACTAAATTTTCTAAAAGGCAATTTTGGGAGGCTCGATCTATAGAGTCCCCAATATGGGAATGGCCCACGATGGGGAAGACATATTCTGTGGTTGCCTTGCGGGGGTCAATGACATTTTTGACCTAGATGCGTTGATCATTTTCGATGAGGCCCATACTCTCCTAAACCCGGTAAACTTTGTCCCCCGTTATTATGTTCGCTTTTATTTTGTTCTGTCCGATTTCTTTCCTTTCTCCATAGGCTGTGACACTTCATCAGGAAGCGTTTACCAAATCCCAAGCCGAGCTGAGCTGGTGTGAGGCCAATCTCAAAAGGTTTATTGAGGAGAGAGGCGCCCTCAAACATCTCTATGTGCAGAAAGAAGAGGAGCCCAGGGACCTCCGAGCTGAATTGGCACAGGTACATAAGGAAAAGGCCGAGCTAGACAAGCAGGTAACTATCCTTTTGAAAGAGTACGGTCTCGACCCAACTGTGGAGGCTAATACTTCAATATCTGAGTTGCAGCAAAAGCTGGAAAGGATTGAGCTGCTCCGAGGGGAAGTCGACCAAGTCAAAGCCGACTGTGATTGGTGGAAGGAGAGCATGGACCTCCTTGCTACGGAGAAAGAGGCTACATTGGCCAAACTGTCATCGGCCGAGGTCCAACTTCGGAGCATTAAAGAGAAAAGCTCAGCCCAAGCTAAAAGGATCGAGGAGCTTGAAGCCAGGCTTGCTGAGGCCAAGGCGGAGGTCGAGAAGACGAAGATCGCGACTGGCAAGTCCATAGCCGTGTACCTGGACAATGCCGAGGCAGATCAAATGCAGCTAAGGGAGGCTTCCGATCGAGAGCGACGAAGAAATGACTTGGTGAAGTGCCAATCCCGGAGGGAGACCCTCGAGGAAATCCATGCTCAAGGTTTCAACCTCTCTAAAAAGATAGCTCAAGCTAAGGCGCTTGAAGCTGATACCAGGTTTCTTGTTTCCTTCGATGATGATGACGATAATGAAGGCAGTC